ACGACAATCCCCACACAAACGTAGACACACACACATACACATACACGCACGCACGCACACACACACACACACACACGCAGACACATTTAAACACTGGAGCACACATACACACAGACATGTGCACAAACACACATACATACACAGAGACACACACACTTGCGCAGACAGGCATGCACACAAACACCGGCACGCACACACAGACACACATATGCATACACACACTTGCACATGGACACAGATGCACGCACGCACGCACACAGGCATGCAAACAGACACAGACACACACACTTACACATGCAGACACAAACACGTGCACTTATACAGAGACATACACACTTGAACACGCACTCAGATGCACACACGCAGACCCGCGTACACACACACCTCCACTAATTCACAATGAACTCCCACATGAGCAGCACACTGCTAAAAATACACAGTAACACCTCAGAGAAGCCAACGCCTCCATTGAGTTAAAAGATCAGTGAAGCTCTAGAGTGAATCACACCTGATTACTCGAGTCCTCTTACTGTACTGTCTTAGCAGTATTACGGCCAAATATAGTCTAAGCCATGATGTAGTGGAGGAATATCAAGAGTTCCATATGACACTACGCAAAACCATTCAGTGCATACTCAAACCTGCTTCAATAAACCCCGAGCCCAATGACCAGCTGTTATTTAGTCAGTTAAACTCACTCCGTCCATACATCTGTTTTTCTACCGATCTATTTAACAATTGTTCCTTTGTTACATCCACCCTTAACTCTGTCATCCCATCCAACCATCATCCATCCATTAGGTCCTTATATTTCTTCATTTATCCATTTTATTTCTTTATCCATTCATCATCTATCCAATAAGTCCTTATATTTATCCATCCATCCATCCATCTGTCCGTCCGCCCAATCATTTTATTTATCCATCCATCTATCCATCAAGCAATCCACCCATACATCCATCAATTGTCATTTCATCCATTCATCCATCCATCCATCCACTTATTTTTATTTCTCTCTCTATCAGTCCGTCCATCCATCCATCCATCCATCCATTCATTTTAGTTATCATCCATCCATACGTCTATCTATCCCTCCATCCTTCTGTCCGTCCGTCCATCCATCCATCTGTCTGTCCATCCATCCGCCCAGACATTTTATTTATCCATCCATCTATCCATCCATCTTAGTTCATCCCTCCATCAATCCACCCATACATCCAGTCATATTAGTTATCATCCATCCATCCACCTATCCCTCCATCCTTCCGTCCGTCCATCCATCCATCTATCATTTATCCATCCATCCATTCTAGTTCATTCCTCCATCCATCCATCCATCCATTCATCCATCTATCCATCCATCTATCCTAGTTCATCCCTTCATTCATCCATTCTTCCATCCAGTCATTTTATTTATTCATCTATCCATTCATCCATCTTAGTTTATCCCTCCATCAATCCATCCATTCATCCGTCCAGTCATTTAATTTTTCCATCCATCTATCCATCCATCCATCTTAGTTCATCCCTCCATCAATCCACCCATACATCCAGTCATATTAGTTATCATCCATCCATCCACCTATCCCTCCATCCTTCCGTCCGTCCATCCATCTATCATTTATCCCTCCATCCATCCATCCATCCATCCATCCATTCTAGTTCATTCCTCCATCCATCCATCCATCCATCCATCCATCCTAGTTCATCCCTCCATTCATCCATCCATCCATCCAGTCATTTTATTTATTCATCTATCCATTCATCCATCTTAGTTCATCCCTCCATCAATCCATCCATTCATCCGTCCAGTCATTTCATTTTTCCATCCATCTATCCATCCATCCATCTTAGTTCATCCCTCCATCAATCCACCCATATATCCAGTTATTTTAGTTATCATCCATATATCCATCCATCCATCCCTCCATCCTTACGTCCGTCCGTCTGTCCATCCATCCATCCATCCATCCATCCATCCATCCATCCATCCAATCATTTTATTTATCCATTCATCTATCCATCCATCTTAGTTCATCCCTCCATCAATCCACACATACATCCAGTCATTTTAGATATCACCTATCCATCCTTTCATCCATCCTAGTTCATCCCTCCATCCATCCATCCAGTCATTTTATTTATCCATCTATCAATCCATCCATCTTAGTTCCATAAATTGTCATTTCATCCATTCATCCATCCATTAATTTTTATTTCTCCCTCTATCTATCCGTCCATCTATCCATTCAGTCATTTTATTTATCCATCTATGCATGTTAGTTCATTCCTCCCTCCCTCCCTCCCTCCCTCCCTCCATCCCTCCATCCATGCATTTTATTTATCATCCATTCATCCATCCATCCATCCATCCATCCATCCACCAATCAATCCATTCATCCTTTCATCCATCCATCCAGTCGTTTTAGTTATCATCCATCCCTCAGTCCGTCCGCCTGTCCAATTATTTTATTCATCTATCAATTCTTGTCATTTCACCCATTCATTCATCCATTCACTAATTTTTATTTCTCCCTCCATCCATACTTCCATTTTTCCATCCATCCATTCATCCATCAATCATTCATCCCCATAGATACTGCACATCAGACTTTTTTTAAAACTAGAAAAACTTGCTAAAATGCAATTCAATTACTCTCTTTAAATTTAAATAAATGCTTTCTTGCTCTCCTGTAATTGAGCACTTCTCAATCCAACCAATTCAAAGATCATCATCAATTCTATTCTGAATGCTGGTCAGCCCTTATACTCAAGTATCTAAGCCAGGGGTCACCAAAGTCAGCTCTGGAGGTCCGATGTCCTGCAGTGTTTAGCTCCAACTTGCATCAACACACCCGCTGGGAAGCTTAAAAATATACCTTGTAAGACCTTGATTAGCTTGTCGAGGTGTGTTTGATTAGAGCTGGGGCTAAAAACTGCAGGACACAGGCCCTCCAGTACAGAGTGTGGTGACCCCTGATCTAAGCAGAGATGCTACTCCAGTGCTAAACTGCATACGCATATCTCTGTCTCATGTAACACACTGATCTGTCCAGTTCTCCACTCATTCAGTGGCTGCTGTTTATGATTAATGTAAACACACTTCTGCAGATCAGCAATACTGCCCAATGACAGCAGATCAATATGACTGGAGCTAATAGATTGGCCTGCCGTACAGCTTTCCAGTCAAGAATGATCACATATTATCAGGCGTCTGTGTGGACATGACCGTCTGCCACTGAGTATCTTCAGCTCCATATCCTGTCTATTCCAGTAAACTGACACTGGGTTCAGAGGAAACTATTGACTGATGGTTAATAACTGAACACACACATGTACCAAGTCAAAGAGCAGAAAAAAAAACACACCTCGTTTACTCTTCAGATTGTGGGATTTCTTCATTCATACACCAGTGTTTGAAAGTTTATGGGTCAGCATCTTAAGCAATTAGTCAATTTACTTTAAACAAGTGAGTAAACCAATTGTAACTGTTACACTGACTTAATTTTTATAATTATACACAGTTCATTTACTTGATAATTTTTAGACATTTTAATTAAAGTAATCTAATCGCTTTAAAAGCTTCAGGTTTACTCAATTTTTTTTACAGCAAAGTCAACTAATCGCTTTAAAAGCAACAGGTTTTCTCACTTTTCTAAGTAAAGTCAACTAATCGCTTTAAAATCATCAGGTTTACTCACATATTTAAGTAAAGTCAACTAATCACTGAAAAAGCAACGAGTTTACTCAGTTTTTTAAATAAAGTCAACTAATCGCTTTAAAAGCAACAGGTGTACTCACGTTTTAAAAGTAAAGTCAACTAATAGCTTTTAAAGCAAGAGGTTTACTCACTTTATTAAATAAAGTCAACTAATCTTTTTAAAATCATCAGGTTTACTCATATTTTTAAGTAAAGTCAACCAATCATTGTAAAAGCAACGGGTTTACTCAGTTTAAATGAAGTCAACTAATCGCTTTAAAATCAAAAGGCTTACTCACATTTTAAGGTAAAGTCAACTAATCACTTTAAAATCATTAGGTTTACTCACATATTTAAGTAAAGTCAACTAATCATTGTAAAAGCAACGGGTTTACTCAGTTTTTTAAGTAAAGTCAACTAATCGCTTTAAAATCATCAGGTTTACTCACATTTTTAAGTAAAGTCAACTAATCGCTTTAAAATCATCAGGTTTACTCACATTTTTAAGTAAAGTCAACTAATCACTGTAAAAGCAACGGATTTACTCAGTTTTTTAAGTAAAGTCAACTAATTGCTTTAAAAGCAAAAGGTTTACTCAGTTTTTTTTGAGTAAAGTCAACTAATTGCTTTAAAATCATCAGGTTTACTCACATTTTTAAGTAAAGTCAACTAATCGCTTTAAAATCATCAGGTTCACTCACATTTTTAAGTAAAGTCAACTAATCACTGTAAAAGCAACAGGTTTACATACTTTAAGTAAAGTCCACTAATCGCTTTAAAATCAAAAGGCTTACTCATTTTTTAAAGTACAGTCAACTAATCACTTTAAATTCAAAAGGTTTTCTCACATTTCTAAGTAAAGTCAACTAATCGCTTTAAAATCATCAGGTTCACTCACATTTTTAAAGTTAAGTCAACTAATCGCTTTAAAATCATCAGGTTTACTCACATTTTTAAGTGGAGTCAACTAATTGATTTAAAAGCAACAGGTTTACTCAGTTTTCTAAGTAAAGTCAACTAACGCTTTAAAATCATCAAGTTTACTGACTTTTTAAGTAAAGTCAACTAATCACTCCAAAAGCAAAAGGTTTATTGACTTTTTGAAAGTAATGTCAACTAATCTCTTTAAAAGTAAAGTATTCAATGTAAAAACAATGGGTTTACTCAGTTTTTTACGTCCACTAATCGCTTTTTACAGTGCATGTAAGAAATCATAGTTCATATGTGTGTTATGCATGTTGTTCAGTATTAGCTAATTTAATATTCATTCATCTCTGCTTTCAGTAGATGACTGACTTACCTCCCAGTGGCTAAAGATGAGTTGTGGACTGGCCAATCCGCTGGTCCTCTTTCTGATCTCATCAGCGAACCCGAAGCTCTCGGCCACTGGAAGAACAGCTTTAATGATGAACATGTCGGTTCCTTCCTTCATCTCCTCCTGCAGCACTCGTCCTTCACGCTTAGACAGAACGGCATACACACGACCTGCAACACACACACACAGGTTTATTTTTGAAATTGTGGGGTTATACCATAGGTTTCAATTGTTTTAATATTGCACAAACTATATTTTCTATTGCTGTATTCCCAACCCTATTCATAGTCCCAGCTGGGCCAGTTGGCATTTCTGTGTGGAGTTTGCACGTTCTCCCCGTGTTAGTATGGATTTCCTCCGGGTGCTCCGGTTTCCCCCACAGTCCAAAGACATGCGCAATAGGTGAATTGAATAAACTAAATTGACCGTAGTGTATAAGTCTATATGTGAATGAGTTTATAGGTGCTTCCCAGTACTGGGTTGTGGCTGGAAGGGCATCCGCTGTGTAACACATATGCTGGAATAGCTGGTGGTTCATTTCACTGTGGTAACCCCTGATAAATAAGGGACTAAGCTGAAGGAAAATGAATGAATGAATGATTGAATGAATAAATGATATAGAACCTCTGGGAAAAGGATGCATGGGCAATGTCCTCATAAGTCACCTTCACCTTGTAATACATGCACACACATGTACACACATACACCTGCAGAGCATTATGTCTAAACATCTGCACAACCTGACCTCTTATTCACAGTTAATAAAGACACCACAGTGATCATTTTAATGTATTTAGTTTATTTACCTATTCATCTAGTGATGTTATATGTTTATCCAGATAATATTACATATTAGTTTTAATTTTTTTTTAGCATTTTGGATATTTACAAAACAATGTGATTATTTCTCCAAAGATCAAATCATTTCATTGTTTTGTTCCATTGCATGTTTTGAATCAGATTTTATTTTAATATATCTGGTTTCATATCTATCCCAATTTTATTAGTTATATATGATTATTTATTGATAAATGATTTTATTATTGTAATAATCCATGTCATTTTTGAAGCATTTTTTCAAGTTATATTTGCGGTTAATTTGGTACATCAAGCTAAAGGTGCTGTATGAAGGTTTTTGACTCTTCTAAAGCATAAAAATACCATAAATTGTTTGCAGACATTAAAGAAGCATGCTCAGTGGACATTCTTGTTTATCTGAAAAACTATGCTGAAGTCAGATATTCTGCTTTGTAAATGTGCATTACATGCCATAATGTCTGTCTTTGTTTTGGTCTCTTTAACCGACCCAATGCCAATTTAGCCAATTACATTTCAGAACCCCGGTTGCCTTGATGGAAAATAGCATATTTCATTCATTCAGTCATGACAGCTCTCAAAGTGTGTGTCTGTGACCGAAATGTGACCTCAGGTGGACAGTAGCAGACTCCGAAAAGAGTTGCAGATATGGAGTTCCACATGAGCTGGTTATTAATTAGAAAATAATATAAATATTAAACATTAGGTGAGCAGGTTACATTGTATCCCTGTGTCCTAACAACACACTACATAATGAGATTTACAGTGATAATCAATTGGGCTGTTTGCACCAGACGAAACACGACATAAATTTAAATACAGCCATTCAGAAGCACAGAATAGTGCACTTACTGCACTCCAACGAAATTGGTAAGGTTTATAATCTAACTAATACATATTAAACCTCTTAAACATTGTTAAATGTACTTGCTAAATCACTTATATGTGTTGGTTTTGAGTCACAGATCAAAAGTTTAATTTCAAACAGCTTATTTAATTTTCAAGATGTGAGGTGAACTATCTGCTGCTGCTTTCAGTAGTGTTTGCATTATTAGCATTTAACACTGAATAAAGCACATGATGTGTAAATGAGGTGATCCTTGTCAGTTTTCTGCTGTGCAGCTGCAAGAAATAGAAGCCTTTTCTAAAATATAAATTTCAGCTCCTTTTAATATTGAAAATATTCCTGCTATCGAGTGCCGTTGCTTTTAGTTTGAACATGATTTTAATCAGCTTTAAGGCTCAATAGTCAGGCACACTGCTGTTGGTGTTGTCAATCTGGCAACCTGCGCTTGCGTGTGTTTTAAACTAGGCATGCAATACCTAGTTCAACCACTGGGTGATAAACTTACATACTGCACCTTTAAATAAAAATACATAAAAGTTTTTTTGTATATTTAATTTCATTTTAGTCAAAGATTAGTAAAATTTTTAAACTAGTAGTAAAATATGAAAAAAATTAAAAAGGGTAAAAAGTAAAACAATAAAAAGGTAGGTTTGTTTTATTTATTTTATTCTTTTATTGACTTGTGATTTTGTTTTTTATTAAATAATTTTTTGATTGTTTAACTTTTGCTTTATTTCAGTGACTGAAAAACAATTTTAATGCAGCAACCATCATCAATAAACCTTCAAATTTAAAAGCGCACAACCACCCTTACATAATAATGACCTGGAAACACACACACACACACACACACAAAATCTATCATCACAAGCCAGAAACCCACACGCTATCAGATTTTTGTTCAAATTCAACTGCGACGGACATCCTTCTCCTTTAGAACACACGCACACACACAGAGGAGAATACGTGGAAATGACGAGAGAGAAACTCAATGCGAGTGTATTTTGGAGTTTGCAGTGTAGATCAGCATGAAGCTCTGTCTGACACACACACACACACACACACACACACACACACACACACACACACACACACACACACACACACACACACACACACACACACACACACACACACACACACACACACACACACACACACACACACACACAAACATCTATAGCAGGTCAAGACCTCTGCACATCTGGGCCAAGAGTGTTCACCTTTGATACTGCGCTATTGATGCAAGCGTTAAACATACAGAGGGAAACAGGATTTTCAGTGCTCTTGAAGATTGATGGAGTATGTTGACACACTAGTAGTCAAAGTTTTGGGATAGTACGTTTATTTATTTATTTTTTAAATATTCTGAATTTAAAGGGTGCAGCCTTTAAAATAAAATATAAAAAAATAAAGCAAAAACTGTAAATTATAAAAAAATTAAAATAAAAATAAAAACCTTTTTTGTTGTATTTAGTTTAAAATGGTTTTTTTTTCAGCAACTTTAGTCTTTATGATCGTTCAGAAAACATTACATTTCACAGCCATATCACCCTGCAGCCCAAGACCGGGTTACTCACTGAAGCTAAGCAGGGCTGAGCCTGGTCAGTACTTGGATGCATGACCACATGGGAAAACTAGGTTGTTGTTGGAAGTGGTGTTAGTGAGACCAGCAGGGGGTGCTCAACCTGTGGTCTGTGTGAGTTCTAATGCCCCAGTAAAGTGAAGGGGACCTTATACTGTCAGTGAGTGCCATCTGTTCCAACCCCTGGCAGTCTCGGGGAGTGGGGTTGCATATTTAACTGAGGATTTGGTTACGCAAAAACTCAAAAACAAATTGTGTTACAAAGTAAGGATGGACAGCAAGAATACGTGGAAAAATAAGTGATTTATTTACAAAAAGTGAGGGTGAATCAGTGAATGGGGTATTTACAATATATACAATGTCAAAATCAATAAACAACGAAATGTTAGAAAGACTGTCTATGGGTGACGCTAAATAAAAGAACCAAACAGTCTGACCAATATTCACAACAAATCCCTTATAATCTAATCTAATAAACAAAAGATATGAAAAAGAAATCTTCAACGTCAATGACATCCTTCTAATCTACACTGACTAACAATTAAACCAAAAACACATAGGTTGGTACACACAATGAGTCAGAGAATCTGCTCCTGAACTAACAGACTGAAGACCTTTTAAAGGCCAGGTGGCATGCCGGGATTGGTGGGACTTGAGCAGAGTGGTAACTAATCAAGTAGCAGGAGAGATGGGATTGGTTGCAGCAAGAACAAGTGAAACAGCCAATCAGAGACGGGAGTAGGTGGAGCAAGTACAGAAGTGGACTGGGTGACAGACAGAAAGACATGATGACACACAAAAATTAAACAATAAAATCACCAAGTAAGTGCTGTCATGTAAACATCTTTAAGATGAGACGTTAAAGAGAGGTCTTAGGATTAAAAATCCTATGGCTCGTGAAGAGTAGTGGTGTAGTGTCCGCTGTCCGGGCCAAATTCCCTCCATTGGCCCTTAACCATTATGATTTCCTATTCATCCCCATCTACCGAATTTACTCTATCACTATCTAAATATACATGACATTTTTTTTATTTTGAGATGATGCCAACCACAGAGCACTTTCAGAGGTCTCCATAATCGTGGACCAAGCCGTATCCTAAGCAGATGTTGTGGTGGTCATAGAGGAGTGGAGAGCGCGAGACTGATTCCTGAAAGACCCCAGTGACAGATTAGTCTCAGCATTGATCCCATGGGTCAACCTGAACACCCACCGGTGACCTACTCACCACGATGGACGTCCAGCATTCTCCAGCCTCCGGTGCCTAGACTGCAACTCTGCACAAGAAGTTTGGCCAGAGGAGAAATGGTCGTCCCCAACTAAACCTGGTTTCTCTCGAGGTTTTATTTCCTTCACTTTCGTCAATTGGTGAAGTTTGTTCCTATAGCTGCTGTCACCATTGGCTTGCTTGGATAGGGACTTGAAGAGCTGTGCATCAATGGATTTGCTCTTCAGGGTTTGGACTTTCAGCAGTGAATCACACTGAACTGAACTAAACTGAAATTCAACTCTGAAAACTGAACTGACACGGTTTCAGTTTACTAGAGCTTCTATGAAAGCTGCTTTGAGACAATCTACATTGTAAAATTGCTACAGAAATAAACATGAATTGAATTGAAAGTATTGATACTTACTGAATGCAATACTGTATCATTTTATACATTTCAGTATCAATATGTATTGCTATTTTTGACAATACTACTATCTATTATAAAACCAACTCTTACAGAAAACCTTCTAGATTTACATATTTAAAATCCATAATTCTGAAAGACTTTTTCTTCATGGTGGCAAAAAAATGTCCAAAAGGTAAAAAAAAATCCTGATTTTGTAATACACAAACACACACAAATTGATGCATTCACAATGCTGTATGACACTGTGAAATGGCTTCAGTAACAAAAAAACAATGATTTGCAACAGG